GCACTCTGACCATGTAACTCTGTCGCAGATGACGTAAGAAAGCCATACACTGACATGTAACCCTGTGCCCTTTTCCTTGATAGAGAGAAGACGTGTTTAAATAATTCCTGCAATTATCTCCAAGATCTCAATTTACAATTATTTATATACCAGCGTTCAAGAACTTATTACGTAGATCTTGCACTGAGGAGTGACCGAGATATATTTCTGGATTCTTTTCTTCGTTTGAACTAAAACTTTCCCAAAGCAAGCTGAAGCCGAAGCTAGAACCCTCCTATCTCACCAAACAATGCACGCAACACTACTGAGATTGCAATCAAACGTAGCAGCGTTCACAAGGAAAAAATATCAACACGCAAGATTTATCTAAGTATTTATAGAATATACATATATTGGTATACAATTATTCAAAGGCAGAATTTGAATATATATTAGAATAAATCCTGCCAGGATAGTGTCCTTTAATTACTACGTGTATTTGAGATGTCTCCATTCATCCCTTATTCAAATTCTCGAACGCAATATTTCCTCTATTTCGATGACTTCTTATAAAATAGTCTTATTTCACGTCTTTTATTCATAGATTTTCGCCGGAAAGTGTATAGAAGTAAAACTGCTACATCCACCGATTCTCGCAAAGACCGCATACAAAAGGGAAAAAAAATATCTGTTTTGTTTTAGAATGCCTTCCTTCAATTTGGCAATTCGGTTGTTTGGGGAGTCTTCAAAGGTTTACTACCCGATAAATGATGATGATGATGATGATGATCCTTGACACTCTGGCGCACACCCACAAAGGGGGATCGGCCAAGAACCGGGCGGCAGGATCTTGACTAAAAGGCTAATGGTTTTTCAAAGAAAACGTAATTTTGGGCTAAAAAAATATAGAAAGGAAAGCCGAAAATCGAAAAAGGAGTATATCTGAGCAGGGAGCGATGCAGGCCATCAGATGCGATTTGAGACAGAGGTAATGGTGGGTCTATATATATATATATACACATATACATACACATACATATACATATATATATACATATATATATATATATATATATATATATATATACATATATATATATATATATATATATATATATATATATATATATATATATATATATATATATATATATATATATATATATACACACATACACATATATACATACACACATATACACACACACACACATGATAAATGATTTTTCCCGTGCAGTTTTCTACTTCTTTTGAAAAGAGAAAGTGACCTGGCGATGAGTTGGAAAATTCCTAGCTTTGTGAATTCCAGGGAAGAAAGAGGAAGAGAGACTGCTGGCGCAAGCGGAAGGAGCGCGGAAGGTGAACAATGGTGAGAAGGACAGAGTACACGCAGGGGGCGGATTCAAAGCTGAGAGTAGAACCTTCATTCGTTGACAGTCCCACACAGCCAACACACGTGTGTATAAAAAGACGACGATTGCCAGGATTGACACTCGACTTGCTTTCCTGAAGCAGATGTCATGGACTCTCGCGTCGTCGAAGAGTTTATCCGGCGTGTTGGCCAACGGCGAACGCATCCGCCAATCTATCTCCGCACTGCGGCGCTCGTTCTAGAGTTCTGCACCATCAGGGGTGCAACCGACTGCGATGACCTGCTGAACATGGGCTGCCAGGCTATCCAATACTGGGCCTCAGTATTTCAGGAGTTTGATCTCGATAGAAGCGGTTTCGTCTCCAACCGCGGCCTGGAGGCAGCCCTCAGAGAGTGCGGTTACCCGGTCACCGGAGACCTCTTGGCTTGCCTGTGCGGCGTCTATTCCAAAGACGGCCGGGTTTTCGTCGACGTTTTCGTGAAGGTTTGCGCCGTCGTCGGAAGCGTGTGCCCCTGAAGTAGATTCAATGCAGCACCACTCGAAAGGTCCTTTTCAGGACCACCCTATTTTTGCATTGGCTGACTTCGCTGTCACGATCCTTCTCCGCGTAACCTTCACAATGTACTTCATACTATACACTTAGCTTCAAAACAATTATTTCACTTGCAGCCTCAAAGCCTAATCTTGGCCCTTCCTTACAGTTCACTTGCAGCCTCAAAGCCAAATTTGGGCCTTCCTTACAGTGTCCAACAATGCATACGAATTAGGAGTATTTTAATGTTGAGTCACACTTGCGATACTTATTTGATTTATTCATAGTAGCTTATGTTACCATGTAGCCACTGTGTGTGTGTTTTCACAAAACTGACGAAATTCGCTCGTAACAGCTACTCTACGAGTTTCGGCGCATTAGCTGGAACTCACCGCGGCACACTCGTGAGGAGAAGTAGCTCCCGAAAAACGTTATGCTTTCATATTTTAGCTTCGTTGCTCACACGCAAAAGCTTTGGAAAACTGCTTGTTTTCGCGGCCCTGGAGAGTGGAACCTGGGATGTATTGTGAAGCGTAAGCAAGGTGCATCAAAATATCGTCATTCTGAACTGGCCTACAAAAAAATCAAGCTATAACAATATTTGGCACGGTGGCCGTATCCCTTTATGTGGAAGTCCGGCTCTCGCATGCAAATACAATGGCTGCATAAACGCAAGAGGGCGCTCGCTTCACCGAACCAGGACTGCATGTGTCTCAGCACCTGCTAATCTGACAGTGCACGACGCCCGATATTATATTGGCTACAGTAATTCACCTTTCACCTTTATGAGGACAAAATTTTCTTCAATCACAGGACATTGTCCTGAGTGAGGCTTGATAGTTGTTTTACCACCTGCGATAGCTTAAAGGGGTACCGTTCAAAAAAATGGTGGTCTCGCCTTATTTACAGCAATGTATTTATGAAATGATCTTATTCATAACATGGTACATCGCTTCATAGCACGTGCCAATTGGGGAACGATTATAAGCTCTTCATTGCTGACATTTCCCGTTTTCGGTTTGGGGGAGCTCTAAAAACACAAAGCTTCCGTGAGCGTTCTATATTGCCGCTGAGCGTTTACAACAGACGACCCCGTCCGTCACTAAGGAGAACTGTGGCGCACTTCGGCTTGGTTTATTCAAGGAGTTCGTTCGAACAGTTAACGGAAGAGCGTTGTCACCAAACGAAACTTTCCCACACGTGTGTGGCAGCCATGAAAATAAAAGACGCACGTGAAAAGCTATTCACTTCAATGTTCAGGCTCCTTTGTGTCATGTCACCCTTTTTCCAAGAACAGCTTGAAAATTCACAGCGCTGCTCAGAGAAGGGGACAGAAAGGAAGCTTCACAAAAAATCTCATGCCCCCCCTGGCACGTGCGTGCTGAATCGTCATAAGTTCGGTTAGTGTTAGGAGAGTAGGGGTTGCAGCTTTTATGGCAAGGTGTGTATACAAATTTTAAGATGAAAAAAGGCAAAAGCAAATTGGCGTGCCAATGCTCCAAACTAACTAGTATTATTTTGACAGGATCAGTGGTACCTTGCTAACAGCGCAGAATGTCGTAAAAATCTGCGTTTCGTTTTCGTGTCATACCGCCAGATATAACTGTGGCCTTGCCTTCAGGCAGAATAATGACCTAAATAATATATTTACATTTTAAACACCCACCAACTACCTAAATTCTTCATTCATTTATACCATTACTTCAATGTCCATTAGTACTGCTTTCCCTGTTATGAAAAATTTCAATCCAGGAATTATACCAATATATTGCTTTTAAATGCTAAGAATATATCATCTGACGTCTGAAAACGGTCTTGTATACCTCCAAATACCAAGAACAAAGCAGGTCTGCAGAGCCTTCTGCACGTACAGGAGCTCAAAGTGAAAATAAATAAGCACAAAAGTCCCGGTCCGTCATGTAATTCAGGCGGTCCTAAAAGTTCGTAAGTAACACATTTTTTGTTTCTTTTCTTTATTCAGCTGCTTTCCACATGCTTCGACATGCAGGCACTCCATCTGAAGCGGGCATCTTTTGCGAAAAGTATTTGATCTTTCGGTCATTGAAATGGCGTTAACTGAAGAAGGAATGTCCGCCAACTTTCGAGACAGATACATTGGAAGCTGAGAAGCGCGGGTGAGTTCCTTCACCTTTAGGCAGGCGCAATAGTCCATAGCACCAAGTACAGACTACACTAGATAAACAGGTGTTAAAGCTGCTTTTCTTTATTGGGTCTTTCTTTTTGCTAGTTTCTCTAAAGTATTATGCACCAGCTCACGAAAACGTCGCAGCTCTTTCCTCTGGTAAGTTCGGCTTACCATATTTGCAAGTTACTTTATTGTCCTTCAGTATCTTTGCTCGGCTTCAATGATTACCATGGCTAGAATGGCTCAGCTCATTATTCTTTATTCTTCCTCTTCGAACAAGATTGGTTCCGCCAATTATGCTTGGATCGACAACAAAAAGCCGATTTTTTTTTTGCGGAAGCACACAGCGTTAAAAGGGAGAGCGCAATGAATCTACCGTATACAGAGTTGATAAGTCGTATACATTTTGCATCGAATATTTTGCAGCAAGTTGAATAAAATCCTTCATATTTGAATAAATCTTAAAAGTTATTTTCTTCGCATTAAGAGTTGCAATTCTTTTTTTCACTCTTCCTTAAGCATATATTCCGTATACACAAGGTGTCTCCTTTGGAACGGTGATATTTGTAGGTTACATCAATATTGACGCAAGGTGAACGCAGTATTCAAACTACGCGCGCTAGTTCGAGCGCCCCCACAAGAGATCAGCGGCTTTATGATCAAACAAGAAAAGGCCGTGACGGCGCGCGCTTCCTCAGCACGGGATTTTGATGAAAAAGAAGTGGACCACCACTCGAGGGTTTTTCTCTCTCGGAGATTGATCCCTTTTTGCTGATCGCCTGTTACAGACGCCGCTACTTTTCGGGCACAAGTTCGCCCCAATAAACAGTTATTCGTACACCATTTGGATTGTACGTAACAATTCTCCTCTCCGACGTAACTCCTCTCCGACGAAGGTTGTAACGGTTTGCATCCACGCGTTGTTGTTGTTTTATGCGATGTCGTGCCAACTGCCGTGCTTCTTCGGCTCGCTGAATGAATTCGCTGATGTCAGGCTTGTGCTCTGTATTGTCGCCTACAGGCAGCATTGCATCTAATGGTGTCGTAACTACTCGACCATAGACTAGCTGGAATGGCGTCACTTTAGTAGTCTCCTGCACAGCAGTATTGTAAGCGAAAGTGGCGTACGGCAGTATCTTGTCCCACGCACGGTGCTCCAAGTCAACGTAAATGGACAACATATCGGTTAGAGTTCTGTTGAGTCGCTCGGTTAGCCCATTAGTTTGGGGGTGGTAAGCCGTTGTTTTCCTATGACTTGTGTGGGTAAGTTTCATAATGGACTGCGTCAGATTGGCTGTGAATGCAGTTCCTCGATCCGTGATGACCACTTTTGGGGCACCATGCCGTAGTACAATGTTAGTGACGAAAAATTCAGCTACTTCTATAGCCGTGCCCCTGGTGAGAGAGGCCGTCTCGGCATACCGGGTTAAGTAGACTGTCGCCACTACTATCCATCGGTTGCCCATTGATGACAAGGGAAATGGACCAAGTAGATCCATTCCTACTTGTTCGAACGGAGACTCAGGTGGTTCAATTGGTTGGAGAAATCCTGCAGGTTTCAATGGAGGCGTTTTGCGTCTCTGGCAATCTCTACATGTCCTTACATAATGCTGTACAGCATCCAGTAACTTTGGCCAGTAGTATTTTGTGCGGATGCGAGCCAATGTTCTACTCACTCCGAGGTGTCCTGCTGCTGGGTCATCGTGGCAGGCTTCCAGGATTTCGGGTCGCAAGGCCGAAGGAACGACGAGTAGGAATTTCTCCTTGCTGTGCTCGAAGTTTCTTTTGTATAAAACGTTGTTTCTCATGAGGTACGAGGACAATCCCCGGACGAAAATTCGAGGAACACGCACGGGTTGCCCTTCCAGATGCTTGATCAGTTTAAGCAACTCCGCGTCAGATCGCTGATATTCAGTCATGTCTGCGGCGCTCACGGCCCCAAGAAACGGAAAGTCGTCTCCATCTTCCCCAGGCGCAGATTCCATTGGTGCGCGTGATAGGCAATCAGCATCGCTGTGCTTGCGACCCGACTTGTATACGACTGTTATGTCGTATTCTTGCAACCTGAGGCTCCATCTAGCAAGTCGCCCAGAAGGGTCCTTTAGGCCTGCGAGCCAGCACAACGAGTGATGGTCGCTCACTGCTCGAAATGGTCTACCATATAAGTACGGTCGGAATTTCTGTATGGCCCATATTACCGCCAGACATTCTTTTTCCGTCGCCGAATAATTTATTTCAGCTCTCGAAAGAGTGTGACTAGCATATGCGACCACTCTTTCCTCTCCGTTTTGCAGCTGCACAAGGACGGCGCCTAGTCCCAAATTGCTTGCGTCCGTGTGAATCTCTGTTTCGGCTTCTTCGTGGAAATGTGCCAGGACAGGGTGGTGTAGGAGTCGCTGTCGTAGCTCATTGAACGCCTCTTCTTGCTCGCTTGTCCAGGTGAAAGGCATGTCTTCTTTCGTCAGTCGGGTTAGTGGCTCCGCAATCTTCGAAAAATCTTTAACGAATCTTCTGTAATAGGCACAAAGTCCTAAGAATCGTCTCACAGCCCTTTTATCTGTCGGTCTAGGAAACTTTTCTACACCTGTTGTCTTTTCGGGGTCAGGTCGAATGCCTTCAGAGCTAACCACATGACCGAGGAAAAGCAGTTCATGAAAACCAAAATGGCACTTTTGGGGTTTTATCGTCAGCCCTGCTGAACTAATCGCTTCGAGCACAGTTCGTAGTCGTTCCACATGCTGATCGAATGTGGCCGAAAAGATCACGACGTCATCGAGATAAACAAGGCAGGACTGCCATTTTAACCCGGACAGCACAGTATCCATCATCCGCTGAAAT